TTACAGGCTCCTCCCCCAACCCAGTCCAGGTGTGTGCGAAGGCAATCAATCAATGTGTTTCTCTTACATTGATATTTCACTCTGTCTTTCCCTCTCTCTCCCACTCTCTCTAAAAATCAATGGGAAAAATATCCTCCGGTGAGGATTAAAAAAAAAGTGAACATTGATTCATGTCTTGAACCATACACAAAAGTTAAATAAATCTACACCTACATATAATAACTAAAATTATAAACGCTATTGGAGAAAATCATTCTGAACACGTCTTAGGCAGAGATTTATTAGATTTGGCATTGGAACCCATAAAAGAACAAATTGATAAACTGAATTTTGTCTTGAAGAGCACGTGCTCTTCAAAAGGAGAGTGTAAAGACAAGCAGCACATATGGCAAAGAACAGGGACGTGACATATGCATATTTAATGCTGAGCTGTTATCGTCTTTGATTTTTTTTAAGTTTCTTTAAAGCGTTTATTAATAAAGGGGTGCATTTTCTGGGAAGGTTAAGTTTTAGAAACCAGAACTGTTAATTCTTGAACGTTTGGCGAAGTTGGCTGACTTCACAGGTTGTGGGAATTAGGTGAAGACCAAGAGGCAGAAATCCTTCCACTCATCCACCACTAGGGGCCGCCCTGGCGCCCCGTCCCTCTCGGAAAATGGGGCTGTGCGCATGCGTGGCTGTCTGTGGGCGTGGCTGTGGGCGGGGAATGCCGTGGAGCGCTGCCCTCCGCAGCTGCAGTACGGCCTGGAAACGTCTGGCCGAAGCAGAAACACGTGATTACAGGTACAAGGGAGCCTTTCCCTCTGGGGTCGCGGTGGACTTGGAGGTATGCGCCCCGGCAGACCCAGGAAGCTGCGGGCAGGGCCGGAACCGAGTCCTGCCTCCGGCCACCAGGGATTTGAAGACGCGGAGGTGCCCGCGGCCAGCGCGCGTTTTCTGGGGGAACTGGGAGGCGTGACCTGGTACCCTAGCTGCCCGAGGGGGAGGAGGGAGGAGACCCCCGAGGAGCGACCCCGTTCCCCCACCCTCTCCCCGCTGGAGACCAAGTCCGCCTTGCAAACTCCCCACTCTCGTCCCCCCACCGGCTGCATTAGACTGTCCCTGAGGTCCTGAGGTCCTGAGGTCCCTGCGGTCCGGCGGCGTTTTACAGCCTCAGTTCTGTTCTTGTTTCCTCAGGGTTGTTTATCTCTGCAGGGCGAGCACGGGACCCCGAGGTCCCTGGATTCGGTCATTTTGCTCATCTTTGGAGGGTAAGCTCCGAAAGGATTGTCTGCACCCTAACCCCTCTCCCAGACGTGCATCCGTTGCTTTTGGGAGCTTGTGTCGTTCCTGGATGAGGGATAACGGAGACTCGCTGGGGTTTTAGCTCGACCCCTCCAAGTGCTCAAGTTTGCAGGACGATGGATCGTGTAAGAGTTTTTATACTCGCCACAGAGAAATGCATGTGTCCCGCTGTCTCTTTCCCTCTGTCACAGACTGACAGCTATACAGTAACTACACCTATATGGTGGCTGGCCTGGAGTCGGAAGAGTCTATACCCTTTAAGATGTACTTGTTTTTGTCTTTGACACGTGTGTCCAGAAATGTTCTCCAAAATATGAAGTAGACTGAATTAGAATTATTTTCTTTCAGACAAACGTTGCCAAATGCTTTCCTGAATCGTTTGTGCTAATTGTCAGGTCCCTTAGTCTACCCTTCTCTAAGTGGGGACTCCCCATTTACAGGGCTTCCTGGTCCAGAGCCTGGGCATCCACTCCCGTTTCCCCTCCAGAGGCCGGAGACGATGGAAACAGCTGCCATGCAGGGATTTTTAACACGTTGCCCAATTCACTTTCTGCATAACTGTTCTCTGCATCTCACAAGGTGTTTTGAATCAACATATATTTCAAAACTTCAGTTTTTCACATGAAAGCAAACATACCTATTCTAAGATAAAAGGTTTTAAAAAATAAAAATATCTTTATATCACAGAGACTTTTGAAAGTATAGAAAATTGCCAAATCACTGATAAAATGTGAGAACATCAAATAACTGGCAATCACTGCTTTAGGAAAGATTTATTTGACACAAATGCCTATCTTTTATCTTGTAGAAACCTTGGTGATACTATCATTTGACTGGGACCTTTTTTTATCACATAGATTTTAGATTTAGAAGGGAACTTGGGCTGTGGTGTGGGCTGCCAAGAAAGTAAACATTTTGACAACATTCCTAAAAAATTGAGTTTTGCTCTCTGCTTGGGTTCTATTTGGTGGGAGGAGGTGTGTGAGAAAGCTGTGCATTTATAGCTGTGTTTTGGGACAAATTTTCAGCTTTCCTGTCCAGGCCACATCTCCCTTGTCATTGTACCGATAACTGGGATCTCGGACTCCATTGCAGAGACCATCAGCCTGTGGTGACAGCAATCTGACTTCACAGAGTGCCACTTTAGAAAGTAACTGAAAGGACATTTGCTAATTCCTCTTCAACTTCATCTTGCTGCTTTTAATAGATTTGTCTAGCCTTTTAGGTAATTTTGAATCTTTATTACCTGTAGTATTTATACAGCATTTCTAGTGTTGTGATAATCGAAAACTTGGAACCTAAAAGTTCTTTCTGTGTATGCATTTAACCAGTTTGGAAAAACCTGGGAGGTGCAGAAGATAGTTGCTTCCATTGCTGACACTAGCTTGGCTTTGGGTGTTTTTAGTGTTCTAATGTCTTTGACTATCTTCCCCTCACGAATACTGTGGGAGCCCAGCCAACATGGCTTATGGTTGAGCATCGACCTATGAACCAGGAGGTCATGGTTCCATTCCCCATCAGGGCACATTTCTGGGTTGCAGGCTTGATCCCCAGTAAGGATGCGCAGGAGGCAATCAGTGATTCTCACCATTGATGTTTCCCTCCCTCCCTCCCTTTCTCCCTCCCTCCCTCCCTTCCTTCCTCCCTCCCTCTCTCTCTTTTTCCCTCTTTCTTCTTTTTCCCTCTTTCTCCCTTCCTCCCTCTTTCTCCCTCTCCTCCTCTCCCCCTCTCCCCTTCTCCATCTCCTCTTCTCCTCTCTCCTCTCTGATATCTATGTATCTACATTTACATCTATATCTGTCTACATACATACACATATACTGTGGGAGACTTCTTTCTTTTAGAGGATCTGAGTTACGTGGCCACTTGATCCACCAAATTAGTAAACATATCAAAAAAGAAAATTGGGTTAGGGTGGTTACTGAAGCCTCTTAAATGGACTTTGAATTATCATTACACTCTCCCCAATGCTAATAAACCTGTTTTGTACTCCAGAATTATGCAAAGATCAAGCTTGCTCATCTCTCCCTTTTTGGAAGTATGACTTATCACTTGATGGGATCCTGTATTCTAGTTTTGTCTTCTACCAGCCTCCCAGGTCCCGATAGTGACTCTGAAGCTGCAATCGAGTTCCTTCAGCAACCAGGTACATAGCTCATCTGATGCTGAAAAGTCCAGTGAACTGATTTGAGATAGGTACTTGCATGCCACCTTCTTATGGGTCTTAGGTAGTTATTTCCTATTTATATACCGTTACCAAATTACTTTACTATTTTCTAGCATAAAGAATGGCCTGAAAACACAAAAGTAGCCAGCTTGATAACTCAATAGAAAATTTTCTGCAGTAAATAAAATTGTGTCATCTGCTTCTTAGGGGAATTTAATCAATTTGTCTTTCTCTTACTTGTGTTCCTTTAAATGTGAGCCTGATAGCTCCTGTCTTCCTGTTTCTGGATTGGAATGTAAAGGAGAGAGAGCCTACCTTCCTATTGTCTGGAAAATAATGATTAGATAATAGTAGAACAGATGGTAGTGGGGAAAATCAAATTGTGGATACTGGTGCCTAATACATTCTCCCTACCTGTCCTCCAAAGCTCTATTTTAGGAATGGGATTCAGAGAGAGGCTGAGAGCTGGCTGGTAGTAGACAACAGAGATTGAAGATAAGTTTTTAGTTTCATATTAGGTTGTTTCCTCCATCTCCTCTGTGTAATTTAATTTGGCTCACAAAAGTAATAGGATGCATTTTTTTTTTACTTTATGACATTTATTCATGATGCCAAGGCAGTGAGTTTTATCATGATGTAGAACAGTTATTATTTTCTTCCATATCCATAAATCGCTCCTAACTCTAACAAGTCGCTGTGCCTACAATTGGCCAAACCTCAAAGAGAATATGAATAAATCAATTAAAAATGAATCAATTGGCCAAAACCGGTTTGGCTCAGTGGATGGAACATTGGCCTGCAGACTGCAAAGTCCCGGGTTCGATTCTGGTCAAGGACATGTACCTTGGTTGTGGGCACATCCCCAGTGGAGGGTGTGTAAGAGGCAGCTGGTCGATGTATTTCTCTCATCGACGTTTCTAAATCTCTATCCCTCTCAATTCCTCTCTGTGTAAAATCAATAAAATATATTTTAAAAAATGAATCAATTGTATCTTTCAATATAAGTGGAAAATTTAAAAATCACAGAAGCATATGTTAATAGCAAACTAGTCAAATTATATTTATATGGGAATAGTAAGTAATAAAAGTTATATCTCCTTAATTATTACATTTGTAGTGGTAATAACTGCTGCTAAAACCAGAACTAAACAATTTATGTAGGTAATTAACTAATTATGGACTACCTTAAATTTTTTGTAGTATCTCTCCATACTTATCTATTAAAATGTGAATTTCAAAGCCATTTTACTGTTTAATCTACCTTCTATTTTAGTAGAGCTTCAAGTGTAATACCTGGCAAGTGTTGCAGTATTTCCACTAACGAGGCTAGTGGTTTTTGGTTTTGGTTTTTGATTTTTTTAATAGACAGGCTTCCTTCTGAGTAGAAAAAGAAAATAGTTTATAATCAACAATTTTCTAACAAAAATGTGCAATATATACAATGATATATAGAATAAATATCCTAAGCATCACAATTATTGGATTTCTACTCATACATTCTGATGGATGTGTTTTTGTGGTATTTTGCCAACTTAGGAAGTGAAATCAAATGGATGCTGGTGAGTACCCCATGGCAGCAGTCACTTCATTTCATTTATCCCAAGTGAACTGTAACCTGCAAGCCTCCTTTAGGTAAGAAAATTGATCATTTGAGAAGTAAATGATTGATTTCTAAAAATGGTCATACATGTGTAGGCTGCAATTTATATATCATTTCCAAGCTAAGAAAGATAATTTGTTTTGCATTCTAAAATGTAGTTTACTGACACTCATTGTTATAAATTATTTTAATGACTTTTATAGTTTGTGGATGAGTTTTATGCTTTGAAAACTAATATACACATGAAAAAATTCAAATGTTACTTTTAATAGAATTATCCTATTTCATAGAAGAGTAATATGCAAATTGAGCATCACTCCAACACACAAGATGGCTGCCCCCATGTAGACACAAGATGGTCGCCACAAGATGGCCAGCAGAGGAGGGCATTTGGAGGAGACCAGGCTTGCAAGGGAGGACAGTTGGGGGGGATCCAGGCCTGCAATTTGTGGGCGATCAGGCCAGCAGGGGAGGGCAGTTGGGGGCGACCAGGCCAGCAGGGGAGGGCAGTTGGGGTGGACCAGGCCAGCAGGGGAGGGCAATTAAGGGTGACCAGGCCTTCAGGGGAAAACAGGGTCAACTAGGTTTGCAGAGGAGAACAGTTGGGGTCAGCCAGGCCAGCAGGAGAGGGCAGTTAGGGATTACCACACCAGCAGGGGAGGGCAGTTGGGAGTGACCAGGCCTGCAGGGGAGGACAGTTAGGGGTGACCAGGCTGGCAGGAGAGAGTAGTTAGGGGCAATCTGATTAGAGGCAATCAAGCAGGCAGGCAGGTGAGCGGTTGGGAGCCAGCAGTCCTAGATTGCAAGAGGGATGGGCAGTTGGACATCTCTCAAAGGGTCCTAGATTGGAGAGAGTGTAGGCTGGGGGACCATACCCTCCCCCCCCAAAATGCACAAATTTCATGCACTGGCCTCTAGTTGGTATATAATATCCCTTAGTTATGGTGATTCTATCAGTGAATTGGCTATTTAATGATTTCACTAAATAAGCAATTTTAATAATCAATTCATATTATACATGGTCAGGTTTGATATATAGCACTATTGCTTTGTCTAGAATTGCAAGGTGATTTTTTTAACCTGGCATTTTTAAAAAGTCACTATTTTATTTTTTGGCTTCATTGCTTTGCTAGTGAGGAAATGTATTAAAGATGAGTTTTTTGGTAATATCTTAGTGAAAGTTTATTTTATAGGCTACCAAATAAAAGATTCACAAGCAAAATGTCAGTAAATGTGCTCTACATTAGGTTTACTATGTGTACCAGTTAATAATGCAATTTTTTTCAATATACAGAGTTACACACATGTTGATATATATGCAATTTGATATGTATGCTATTTTGTTGTATTGATAGCAAGCTTCAAAACTTCATATGTCAAATTTGCTGAAGGTGCTAACATTATAGGTATTTTTACATGTAAAAATGTTGAATTTCATGCAAAAAAAGAGTATTTGCAGGAAGTTTTAATTCATTATTTTGAAGAAAATGTTATCATATACTTTAGGAAGCTTATGGTGAGCATGCTCTATCTCAAGATACTTGTGAACGCTGGTGTAAACGCTTTAAAAGGGATGATTTCGATGTGAAAGACAAAGAACGTCCAGGTCAACCCAAAAAGTTTGAAGAACAACAATTACAAGCATTATTGGATGAAGATGTGTGTCAAACTCAGAAACAACTTCCAGAAAGATTAAACGTTGCTCAGCAAACAATATCCAATCATTTACAAGCAATGGGAAAGATTTTAAAGGAAGGAAAATGGGTGCCACATCAACTGAATGAAAAACAAATGGAAACCTAAAAAGTCATCAGTAAATGTTGCTTCAATGGCACGAAAGTCTTTTTTGCATCGAATTGTGACTGGCAATGCAAAGTGGATTTGTTTTGAGAATCCCAAATGCACAAAATCATGGGTTGATCCAGGTCAACCATCAACATCGACTGCAAGGCCAAATTGCTTCAGAAAGAAGACCATGCTCTGCGTTTGGTGGGATCAGGAAGGTGTGTTGACACACATCTTCATCCAATAATGCGTGTAATTGTTGGTCTTCAAACTTTTTGGGTTGACCTGGACGTATTATGAGCTGCTAAAACCAAGTGAAACTGTTAATATTGATCACTACCAACAACAAATAATCAATTTCAACCACGCTTTTATTGTGAAATGACCAGAATGTGCCAGAAGACACGGCAAAATAATTTTGCTTCATGATAATGCACCATCACACACTTCAAAACCAGTTAAAGACAAGTTAAAAGATCTTGCCTGGGAAGTATTAACCCCCACCCACTCTATTCACCAGACCTTGCTCCTTCAGATTACCACTTAATCCAATCGATGGCACAGGCACTTTCTGAGCAGCACTTCAAAACGTACAAAGAAGTGGAAAATTGGGTCTCTGAATGGTTTGCCTCAGAACAAGAAAAGTTCTATTGGAATGTATCCACAAATTACCTGAAAGATGGGGAAATGTGTAGCTAGTGGTGGACATTACTTTGAATAAAGAACTTTCGATGATTCTCTTGAAATTATCATATTTTCTTTTATTACAAAATCCACCATTATTAACCGGTACACCTAGTAGAATCCAGTGTTGGTTCTTTTACCTTCCCTGGGCAATCATATTTTATTTTAGAAAATTAGCATTAAAGAATAGATCAGCCCTTTCAAATAGCATATGCTTTGAATTATTGATGTCAGCAGTTTCATATATTCTGCATTGTATTGTTGGACCAATTCTCCATCATGCATGTGATTTTAATCAGATTAAAATGTATGTGGTAGCACTTTTGCCTGATGATTAAGACACAGCTTTGCAACTATTTTTGCTTTCCATTTCAGTTTCCCAAACCCGAAAGATGACCTTTCATTTTGTCCAGTGACTAGGTCAGTCCTGCTTGTGGGATCCATCTCTATGTTGTGATTAAGAAATGTTTCATATCAGACAGAGTGACTCACAAGACAGAGATATTTACATATCAAATAACTATTTCATTAGATTTAAAGGTATGTTTTAATTATGACACTGAATCTTCCACATATACATTTATGGCAATCAAGGGTGAAAAGAGGATTGAATAGTCAACCAAAGTTAATGTTCAAAATTACTCTGACCATTATTTTGCCTCTCAAATAATTGTATACGTAAAATACTTTGGATTTTTATGTAAGAATATGTACAAGATAACCCAATGTACTTGGGTATATCTGGACCTGAAATTTATTGCAACTTAGTTGTATTTCAAGCTGACTAATACCTGGAGGTTTATAATTTCTTTCTGTTGGAGAAGAATGCTCTTTCCTTTGCTAAAGTCTGTGTAAACAACACAACAGTCAGGTGTGTTGCTTATACAGACTTTGTCCCTGCCATGGCCAGTTTCTCTAGAGCTCTTGTGTCCTGGGTATCATCTGAAAATTGTAAGAGATCATTTGACTTTTTATTAGAATTGTGCTTCAACTTAATGAAATTGGTTCAGAAGCATGCATTGGACAATTTAAAATAACAACAACTGCAACATTTACTGAGCACTTACTATGTGTTGGCACTTAATATGTTCCAATTCTCACAACCTTACACGTTGGTACTGTTGTTCTCCCTGCTTTTCAAATGAGGAGACTGAGGCAGAAGTTAATTTTCTCAGACGAGGTCACATGATTAGTAAGTGGCAGATCTGGGACTCATCGGGACCTATGCTTTTAATTGTGTTTTACTATTCCCTAGTGTCCTCAGGAGTTTTTAGTATAATTGCGATGTGATGCTTCCTTCTGTGTAGGAGATAATAAAGACACTCACACAGATAATAAGGGACTTACACAGTTTTCTTGAACATTTCCTCTCTGAAGCCTCCCCAGCGACCCCCTCCCACATACAAACTCAACCACATAGCTTCCTTGCCTTGCTACTTACTCCACTTTCAGTGATAGCATTTGTCACAGCATTTTGCCATGTGGCCACAGCTCTCTGAGAACAGCTTCTCTCTTATTGATCTCTGAACCCCCAGCATAGAGTGGTACTTACCAATGCATGAAAATGGAAGATTACTTTTAAAATAGTCTTAAACTGTTTTTTCACTGTTTTAAACTGTTATTCTATGCAATTAAGAGCACAGACATATAATCGGAGTGTGGGAAAATGACCATGTAATGCTTTTTAATGTTTACAGAATGAAGAGGAGCAATTTATCTGTCGTGAATAAAATTGTCCAGTCATCACCAGTAATGAAACAGTCAAAACTTGGATTCTACTCTTCTCTCAGCCAGACTCATATGTACACGGCTCTTGCAGACTGGGGGAGTTTGCCTCATCATGTAGTATTACACATTTTTCAGTATCTTCCTTTAATAGATCGGGCCCGGGCATCTTCTGTCTGTAGGAGATGGAATGAAGTTTTTCATATTCCTGACCTTTGGAGAAAGTTTGAATTTGAACTGACTCAGCCAGCTACTTCGTATTTTAAGTCCACTCATCCTGATCTCATTCAGCAGATTATTAAAAAGCATGCTACCCATCTCCAGTATGTCAGCTTTAAGGTAAGAAAAATAAGCATTACATCGAAACCAGGACATATTTTACCAATATTTTTAATACCTAGATTCTTATGTTAAGCAGTGAGTGAATTTTGCAGAATTTTATCTCAACTTATTCCTGTTTTTCTATGGTTATTTGCATAGAGTGAGATGTAGAACTTGAGCTATAATTGAATAACTTAAACTTGAGTTCCCTTCACCTGGGCATTAAAATTCAAATTCAGGTGATTGTATAAGTTTTGAAAGTGTGAAGTGCTTAGAAAGTTAATTTTCCATAATCTCTATTTCTTACTTTTTTATATGAGACATTTTGTATTAAGAAAAAATACTAATTTACTTTATAGCTTGAAGGCTAAATACAATTTTGCAAATGAGTCCTATTAAATAACTACTTGTCTGTAACTTTCTAATTCGTTTGACCTTCATGAGATTAAGATTACAGTTGTCTTTGTAGGTTGACAGTAGTACTGAATCAGCAGAAGCTGCCTGTGATATACTGTCTCAGCTGGTAAATTGTTCTATCCAGACCTTGGGCTTGATTTCAACAGCCAAGCCAAGTTTTATGAATATGTCAAAGGTAACGATGCTATACTTTTTTTGTAGGATCTACTAAAATTCTTGTCAAACTGACAGAAAGGATTATTTTCCTAAATCAGACAATATTCTACTTCTATTCAAAGAATTATTTAAAGCCATTTTCTGTTGACTAGCACTTGTTCTTTGCTGAAATAGTTTATTCATGGTTTCATTCTTTAGATATATTTTAGTCATTGTTTCCCCAGTAAATATTATTAATATGAAACTAATGATAGGATTTTTCCAGTGCTTGTTTACTTAGTTCTTTGAATATAGGGTATATAGCGCCAGTAAGTGGGTGTCTTCCCTGTCACTCTAGAATCTCTTTTTGGAGGTGGAACAGTATAATATCTGACTAAATAAACTACATTTGTTAGGATTATTTTTTAAAAATATATACTTTATTAATTTGTCACAGAGAGGAGGAAGAGGGATAGAGAGCTAGAAATGTTGATGAGAGAGAAACATCGACCAGCCACCTCCTGCACATCCCCTTCTGGGTATGTGCCCGCAACCAATGCACATGCCCTTGACCAGAGTCGAACCTGGGACCTTTCAGTCCGCAGATTAATGCTCTATCCACTGAGCCAAACCGGTTTCGGCAGGATTATATTTGAGTCTGTGTAGTAGACATTCCAGAACAACCATGGCTTAAAACACATGACTGAAGTTTATTTCTCTTACGTTAAAGAAATCCCTGGATGAGACAGTCCATAGCTGGCGTAAAGTTGTTCAGAACCCAGGCTTCCTCCAGGCGCTCCTTCTCTCCAAGGCACTTCTTCGTTTTCAATGTCGAAGACGGCGTCCTGAGCCCCAGCCATCATTCCTTATTCTAGACAGCTGATGGGAGCAAGCGGGGAAGAAGCGTATACCCTTACCTTTCCAGGGAGACTAGCCATAGTATCACATGATGCTTCTGTTTGTCTCCTAGGCCAGGATTTAGCCCAGTGGCTGGCCACACCAGATTTCTGGGAGGCTGGGAGAGTCGTTTAGCTCGGTGGCAGTGTGTCCAGCTAAACATTGGGACTAGATTACCAAAGAAGAAAGGATGAATGGTTGTTAGAAGCCACCAGCAATCTCTGCCACAAAGACCAGGGTCTGTCTTCTCTCCATCCAGGCTTCAGCTTGAATGCCACCTCCTCAGAGAGGCCTGCCTCGAGACCACTTGCTAAAACAAACCCACTCCTCCAGCTACTCTCTATTACAACATTTTAGTGTTTTTGTGTCTTTTGTCAGTACTTGAAAACACCGTACTTATTTAACATATTTTTTCTTCTCCCCAGACTAAAATCATACACTTTTGAAAGCAGAGATTCTAATTTGTTTGTTTACCATTATAAACCCAGACTTAGGATAGTGCCTGATACATAGTGAGCACTAACTTATGGTTATCAGCCGAAACCGGTTTGGCTCAGTGGATAGAGCGTCAGCCTGCGGACTGAAAGGTCCCAGATTCGATTCAGGTCAAGGGCATGTACCTTGGTTGCTGGCACATCCCCAGTAGGGGTTTGCAAGAGGCAGCTGATCAGTGATTCTCTCTCATCGATGTTTCTAACTCTCTATCCCTCTTTCGTCCTCTCTATAAAAAAATCAATAAAAATATTAATAGATAAATAAATGATGGTTGTCAGTAAAACTGGCTAACGGAAACTTTTCTACAGAAGAGGGTAGAGGAGTAGTAACATCTTCCTCATAAACTAGGTCATGGATATCTTAGCAGGCATTTCTGCTAGCTTGTTTATCTTTTTAAGAGATGTGCTGGGGGGAAAATGGGTCATTTGGAGATTAGAGTAATATAATTAATCAGATGAAAATGTACTACTTCTAAATAGTTATTTTCTTGTTTATAAATTGTGGATCAGAGGAGCCTAAAATTCTTACATTCTAAGCTGTCTCTTATGTTACACTTATCAGCATCAAGAGCCTGCTTCTAGGTAAGCTGATGCCGACACCGGAGAGAGGCCTCAGCTGTGAGCGGGCTTCATGTCAAGCTCTGTCTCTACAGTAAAATGAGCTCTCTGGCTCCTCGGGCGGTTGTGGAACTCTCTAAGCCTCCGTTTTTCTTTTGTAAACTAAGGGAAAATAAGATAAAATACAGCATTTTTGCTAGGCATAAGAAGGGCTAAAAGAATATATTGTTGCTGTAATAACATTTGGACAGGTTTCCCCTGCTATCCAAAAGCAGAGCTTGCCTATAACATCTTTTTTAAGCCAAAATGGCATAAGGTGAAGAAGCTATTACCTCAGGTCGCATCTTACTAACAGATGCGCAAAAACACATTAAAATGACGCAGGTCAAAGCTGTGGCAGCTTAGCTGACAGGCTGTGCGGCTCCTGGAGAAGGAGCTTGGCAGGTGCATGCTGACTCTACAACTCGCTGCCCAACAGATGCTGAACATTACTTTTGCTTTATGCCTTTTCACATAAGTGAAATACTCTGGATTTCTTTCAGTTTGTGAAAACAGCACTAATGTAGGTCTTTTGTAAAAGTGAAAGGTGTAAAGCAAACTTTTGAAAAACAGGGGAAACCTGTACTCTAATGCTTAACTGTGTCCTTCAGGACTTACAGAGTCCACTGAGAGTTGATTAAAGTGTGTGTGGGGGGTCCTTATATTTCTTAACAAAAAGGAGTGATGTACTTATGTTTCTCTAACAATTTTTGGCATCATCAAATTTCACAAAGAGGTCTAGTTATCCACTGTTTAAAAATTTGTAAATCACTTAACAATTAGTGTAAGTCAATAAGTTTTCTTATAAATAAATTATGATTTGCAACCAGTTTGATCATTCTAAAAGGGACAGTAGAACCTTTGGTAAATCAAATAGATTTTGAAAAAGGAAAGAATGAGCATGCCTGGATATGGTTTCCAGACTTTATATCCATGTTCAAAAATACTAGATCTGAAAACTTGTGAAACACCATGCATTTTGGGCTCAAGCAATAAATAAGCTTCAGTTTGCCAATATTCAAAACAGAAAGTTTCAAAACATACTTTGAATTTGCCAGCAAAAAGTATGTCCCTAAAGAATGGCATAATTTATTAATTTATTCATCAACAAATATTTGTTGGCCTTCTACTATATGCCAGATACTACTTTAGGTGCTGGATATATAGGAGTGAATAAACCAGATAAGAATTATATTTCTTCTAGGGCAAGGGTTGTACAGTTACAGATAGTAAATATCTTAGGCTCACACAGTTTTGCTACAACCCTACTGCTGCAGTGCTATCAACTCTTATCTAGCACAGTGTGAAAGACAACAAACACAATACATACTTAAAACAGCATAGCTGTGTTACAGTAGCTAGTTATGGACACTGAAAGAGTTTCATATAATTTTCACATGTCATGAAATAGCCTTCAGAACATTTTTTTGCAATTATTTAAAAATGTAAAAACCATTCTTAACTCATGAGCTATTCAATAACAGATTGTGGACTAGATTTGGTTGGCAGACTATAATATACATAATTATATCCTTTTAATATTGAAAACTAATCCTTAAGATTGAAATAATTGAAAGACATATTTATGAAATCTTTGAAACTTTTTCCTTCTCACTGTTCCATTTATCTACACCAGTGTTTCCCAAACTTTTGACATATGTGTACACTGATCTACACTAATAAAAGAGAGACATGCAAATTGACCATCACTCCTCTAAGCCCACCAGCCAATCAGAGGGAGTATGCAAATTAACCCAACTAAGATGGTGGCCACCATGGAACTGGAGCGAGCAGGAGGCTTGGGGTTGCCCCTGGTGATGAAGGAAGCCAAGCTTCCTGGCTGACCCTGGCCTCCGCTCAAGGTTACAAAATTTCAATTATAGAAAATAAGTAAATCCCAACAAAGATGATGGCATCCACAGAGCTGGAATCAGCCAGAGGCTTAAGTTGCTCCAGCGATAGAGGAAGCCAAGCTTTCTGCCTGCCCTGACCTTCCCTGGCCTCCACTCAAGGCTATAAAGTTTGAATTATAGAAGATAAATAAATCCCAGATACCTGCTTTCAGCCGGCCCTCACTTATGCTTAGGTTGCTGGAGGGCATGGCCGGCCTGTAAACCACCACAGGCCCCTCGCCCAGGCCACCCCACATTCCAAGGGAACCCCCACCCTGATCCAGGACACCCTTCAGGTAAACCAGCACCCAACCCGTGCACCAGGCCTCTATAATATCTAATAAAAGAGTAATATGCAGATTGACTGTCACTCCAGCACACAAGATGGCTGCCCCCATGTGGACACAAGATGGCTGCCACAAGATGGCCAGCAAGGGAGGGCAGTTGGGAGGGACCAGGCCTGCAAGGGAGGGCAGTTGTGGGCAATCAGGCCAGCAGGGGAGGGCAGTTAGGGATGACCAGGCTGGCAGAGGAGGGAAGTTGGGGTCAACAGGGCCTGCATGGAAGGGCAGTTGCGGGGGGGGGGGGGGGGGGCGCGGAGTGGAGACCCAGGCCTACAGGAGAGGGAAGTTGGGGATGACCAGGCCTGCAAGGGAGGGAAGTTGGGGGCGATCAGGCCTGCAGGGAAGGGCAGTTGGGGGGGACCAGACCTACAGGGGAGGGCAGTGTGGGGGACCAAGTATGCAGGGGAGGGCAATTGGCCAGGGGGACCAGACAAGCAGGGGAGAGCAGTTAGGAGCTATGAGGCTGGCAGGGGAGAGCAGTTAGGATCAATCAGGTTGGCAGGGAGTGGTTAGAGGGTGATTAATCTGGCAGGCAGAAGCAGTTAGGGGCAATCAGGAAGGCAGGCAGGCAGTTGGGAGCCAGCAGTCCTGGATTGTGAGAGGGATGTCCGACTGCCCATTTAGGCCTGATTCTGGTCTAAACAATGGTAGGATTGGGCCTAAACGAGCAGTCGGACATTCCTCGAGGGTTCTCAGATTGGAAAGGGTACAGGCTGAGGGACACTCTACCCACTCCAGATTCCACCAATGCACAAATTTCATGCACCAGGCCTCTAGTGAATTATAAAAATATTTTAAAAACTACACTTTGTTATTAAAATGTCTTTTATTGTCTAATGATGTTATGACAAACAGTAATATGTTGATGGATTTTACTATACTGTTATTAGCATATGTTGATGTAATAGTTTTAATGAATTATTTGATTGAAACTGTAGATCTTAAAATAATGTTCTCATAATTTTTTCTTATTGCTGTGCAAGTCTCATTTTGTGTCAGCACTTACAGTTGTTTTTGTCAACTCAAAATCATTGTCATCAATCAAAATCGAAGGCACACCAGTGGATGACCCCTCACTGAAGATTCTCGTGGCCAATAACAGTGATACTCTAAGACTCCTAAAAATGAGTAGCTGTCCTCATGTTTCATCTGATGGTGGGTTATATTAGGTCTAGTAATAATTAATGTCGTTTTCTAATACTTTTTTTTAATCGAATTTATTTAAACAATAAAACAAAATTTAATCAAAATATAGTTGCCGTTGTTTTCTACTACTTGTGCCCAATGCTCAGGAAGCATTTTAATCCCTCTGTTGTAAAATTCTTGTGATTTTGATGCAAAAAATTCGGTCAATGCATTTTTGAGGCATTCTTCATTATTAAATTTTTTTCCAAGAAGAAAGTTTTGCAAAGAACAAAACAAATGGTAATCGGAAGGGGCAATATCAGGAGAATATGCAGGTTGAGGGAGAACTTCCCATTCCAACTGGTGCAGTTTTTCAGCAGTGATTCTTGCAGTATGCGGTCGTGCGTTATCGTGGTGAAGAATTACGCCCTTCCGATTAATCAGCGCGGGTTCTTTTTCTCTTAAAGCTTGGGCTAACCTTTCCAATTGGGCACTATACACTGCACTTGTAATGGTTTGGTTAGATGGTAAAAGTTCATAATGAAGAATTCCTTTAAAATTCCACCAAACACACAACATCACTTTTTTCGCATGCAAGTCAGGTTTTGGCGTGGGCTGCGGAGCCTCATTTTTGTCCAACCATTGAGGCCGCCTTTTCAAATTAACATCCAGCACCCATTTTTCATCTCCAGTAACAATTTGCTCTAAAAACGGCAAACGGTTTTGACGAGAGAGGAGCGAACTGCAAATTGTGACTCTTTGATTACGGTTGTTGTCGGTCAACTCATGAGGAACCCATTTTCCAAACTTTTGGACTTTGCCAACTGCACACAATTGATTGGAAATTGTTTTTTGTGAACAATTTAAAGTTGTCGCAAGCTCTTGTTGGGTAATTTGAGGATTTTGCACCAAAAGAGCTTGAAGAGCTTCTTGATCAAAATTGGACACACGGCCTCGACCACTCTTGTCATCTAACGAAACATTTCCCTCGCGAAATTTCTCAAACCAACGCTGGCATTTTCTGGCGCTAACTGCATCTTGACCAAGAGCACTACAGATGTTTTTTGCAGCCTCACTTGCTTTTCTTCCTAATTGGAACTTGTGCCGAATATGCCCTTCATCTGCCATCTTCTTAGCCCTAGTTTTGCAACAAAAACCAAACCAAACACAAACTTTTTCAAGCAAAACTTGTTAATTGCACTTCACACGTTCTGTAGATACCACGTGTTTGAAGGTTATGTCAATACAAGTCAACGCCAAGCAAGATTTTAAATGAATGTTTAAAAACGACATTAATTATTACTAGACCCGATATTATTTTTTTTAAGCTTGCATGATTTTTTTTTATTATAGTAATAGTAACAATGCAATTTCTTATTGAAGACCACATGCTTTTGAAACATAATTTATTAAACTTTTTTCAAGAGAATCTTTATCTATAAGCTAGAGATAGCTTCAATTGCTTCTGCCAAGAGTTATAGTTATACACTGAGTGGCCAGATTGTTATGATCTCTGAATGCATATAATCTGGCCACTCAGTGTGTGTGTGTGTGTGTGTGTGTGTGTGTGTATGTGTGTGTGTGTGTGTATGTATGTGTATATTAGAGGCCCAGTGCATGAATTTGTGCATGGGTTGCGTTTGGCAGGCCTGGCCAGGGGGAGGGAACTGGGCAGTTGGCCAGGCTGCCTGCTGGTCGAACTCCGGTTGAGGGGACAATTTGCATATTAGCCTTTTATTATATAGGATATACACTGATTGACCAGATTATTATATGTTCAGAGATCATAATAATCTAGCCACTCAGTGTGTATTGCATATGTATAATTAAGTAAATCTTGGCTATTTTAGTAAATAATGACTAATAATAATGTAAATTGACAAAAATGTTAGTATGATCTTTATTCCTTTTTTTTCTTTTTTTCTTTTTTTATCTTCGTTCTTAAGATTTTTCCCCATTTCCCACAGGAATCCTTTGTGTTGCTGATCATTGTCAAGGCCTTAAAGAACTGGCATTGAATTATTACATGCTAAGCGATGATCTTCTCCTGGCACTTTCAAGTGAGACTCATGTTAACCTTGAGCATCTTCGCATTGATGTTGTGAGTGAAAATCCTGGACAGATTGAATTTTATCCTATTAAAAAACAAAGTTGGGATGCACTTATTAAACACTCCCCTGGAGTTAATATTGTTATGTACTTCTTTTTATACGAAGAGGAATTTGAGACATTCTTCAAAGAAGAAACCCCTGTTACTCACCTTTATTTTGGTCGTTCAGTAAGCAAAGCAGTTCTAGGACGGGTCGGCCTTAACTGCCCACGACTCGTTGAGTTAGTGGTGTGTGCCAATGGTCTTCAGACTCTTGACGACGAACTTATTTGTATTGCTAAACACTGTAAAAACTTAACAGCCTTGGGCCTCAGTGAATGTGAAGTTAGCTGCAGCGCCTTCATTGAGTTTGTAAGACAGTGTGGGAGAAGGCTGACCCAGCTATCGATAATGGAGGAGGTTTTGATTCCTGATGGCAACTGTGGCCTCGATGAAATCCACACAGAAGTCTCCAAACACCTGGGGAGAATGTGGTTCCCTGAGGTCATGCCCATCTGGTAACTGACAACCAAAGATTCTTAACTACTTTTTAACCAGTAAGATGAGCTTCTTTCAGTCTATGCAAACGTACACTTTAAGATGCGTTGCTGAAATATTTTAGGTAAAACATTTCATCGTTTGTAAATTGTCTTAATAGTTGCAGCAGAAACATTGGAAAAAAATACAAGGAATTTGAGAAGCCAGAATTTGTAGTAAGGGACACAGAGACTGTGTTGTGGTTAGATAGTTGATATACTAAAAACTAGTTTCTAGGTAAGCTTCTTAGCCTTCTTTGAAGGAATATATTATCTTGCTAAGTAAATTTATAATACTGAGCTTAGGATCCCTTAAATTATGCCATTTACAACTTTGTATTATTTTACTTGTTTCATATTAATTTTAATATATTTTATAAAATATTTAGTATTAAAGCCTAAGTAAAATAAAAATATAGATATAGAGGCTGACTTAATTATACTTCATTTTTAGTACTATGTAAGATCACATTATGATTTAATAAATAGCTTTTAATTTCCAATACACTTGGAATTCTACTTTATTACGTTAACTTGGGAGAAAGTTGATAATAAACTAAAGTGATATAATATTAATTCATTTTATGAAGATGCTGTGTTAATTGATTAAATACACTACTGAGTTAAAAAGTAAATTTTACAGAGAGTCTGGGAGGGAATCAATGTTTACTGATCTATTACTATGTATCTGAAACAATGCCAAATCCTTTGCACATTGATCTTATAATCTAATCAGTTAACACAGCATAATCCTTAATGGCTATGTATTAACTTTAGGATAAAGACATATACCTTTAAAATGACCCACACCATACTACAAGACCTGGCTTCTCCATATTTGCTCTCATTTTCTTCCCACCAAACTGCCCCTTGCCCTTTTGCTCACATTCCCTTTCAGGTCCTTAAGATTGCCTTGTACCCTTTAGTCAGAAAGCGTTGGTACATATAATTCTTTCTGCTTTCATCACTCTCTTTGCTCCTTCACATCTTTCCTTTAGATATCTTTTCCTCAGGGAAGTCTTCGTAACTCTCGGCACTCTGTGGCTTTCCATGTGGTGTGATCACTATTGCAATTTGCCATTTACTTGTATGATTATCTGCTTATTCTACTTCACAGTGTAAGATCACTATTGGGTTTTATTCACTGTTGTGTTCCCAGCATAATACTTAGCACCATAATAGCCAATCAGTACATTTTACTTCAGTACTTTCTTTTTCAAACTTGTTCCCCCCCAAATCTAATATTTAATTTTAAGAAATAAAATTAGAAAGGAAACTAGAAATATGTTTATTATTTTCCAGTTTTGAATATTTTTAAATATTCAGGAAAACAAACTGTTAACATTACTATAGATGTCCCCCATTCACTCTCCCCTCCACCTAAGCCCCCGACCCAGCCCCTGCCCCATCCCAGGTCTTCACCACATTATTGGCTGTGCCCATGGGTTATGCATATATGGGTATATGTTCTTTGGTTAATCTCTTCCAGCTCCCTACCCTTCTCCCCTCTAAGATCTCTCAGTCTGTTCCATGTATCCAGGCCTCTGGCCCATTTTGTTTGTCAATTTATTTTGATCATTAGATTTGCTGCTCTGATTGACTTATTCCCCCTTGTCTTCTAATTCGCTGATTCAAGCCTCTGCTTATTTCTTTCCGCGTATTCCTTATTTCAGATATGTTATTTTTCATTTCTGGTTGGGTGGTGGTTGTTGTTGTGAGGTGTGGTTTTGTTGTTGTTTTTTTTCATGATTTCTATGTCCTGTTTCATGCTGTTGAGGATTCTTAAAACCATTACTTTGTAGTCTGTTTCTGATAAGTTGTTTTGCCTTCATTTTTTTTAGCTCCTTTTCTGAAGTGTCCTCCTGTTCTTTCATTTGGGGCCTGTTTGTTTCCCCATTTTTGTGTTTGTGCTCATTTCTGTGTATTGGATAGAACTTCTACGACTCCCAGTCCTGTGGGGTGGCCTTCTGTAATGTCTTGTGGGACCTAGTGGAACAGTCTCCTTGATCATCTGAGCTGGGTACTCTAGGAATGCCTCTTGTGTGGGTAATGTGGGCCCTCCTGTTGTATAATAATTAGGTCTTGATTGCTGTTTGTGGGTGGGCTTAGCTCTTGGGTTAGCTGACTGTGAGGCTCAACCCCGACCATATCACCATGTCATGTCAACTGTTATACAGATGTCAGTTCACCCTTTGTATCTGCTGATTGTGGAGCTTGCTGGATTTTGCTCTAATGTTGTCTGAAGCTGGCCACTTGATGTGCTGGCCCCACACCTCCTGGGAGTTTCTCCTGGTGCAAGCCAAGTCACTGTCCCTGCTGGGCTCTCAGCAGTTTGACTGAAGTTCTTCAGGGAAGAGCCCCAAGTAGCCCAGCGGGTGGGGCCTCCAGAGACTGGGTCTTCCTTGGGTCCTGCACCTTGAATGTCCCTGCCCTGAGCTGCTCTCCTCCCCCCATGGAACTGTACTCTGTGGGAATATCGAGGAATTGCACAAGGGCCTCACTCTCTCTGCAACTCCTCCTGTCTTTCCTGTGTTCTCTGCTCTCAATATTTTAGATCAGCGACTCTTCAACTGATTTTTGAACTGATTTCTCTGCAGTTTAGCTGCAATCTGCTCTGGGGTTGGAAGCAAGTGGATGGAGCTTCCAGCTACTGTGCAACAATCTTCTGTTATAAAAAAAATGTCAAATATTAGGAAATCAGAATACAATGGGATAAGAAATAGCACATTTTACATTCCTTTATTTAGAGACTGCTTATGCATACATCCTAACCACTGGACCACATTCATTGTCACTGAGTTCTGTAAGAGCAGGCATCTCATTTTCTTTTGAGTTCAAATTACTCAAAACAATGTATTGTATATTAGTGCACACTAAATAAATGCTATTAGAGCTGATATTACTGGTTGAAAAATAAAATCAGTTTCTTAAAGATAGTTGTTATTATTATTGCAGAATTATGTTAGCCATAGCTTAAGATTTCTGCATTCTTTTAGACCAGTGTTTCCCAAACTTCTCTCATGATGAGAATCACCTGGTGGAGTTGTTAAACTATAGATTCCTGACTCCCAACTAAGAAGTGCTAAACTAGAATTTTGGGGAACATATAGGTAAAATTGTATACTTAACTAGTGTGCTAAGCATATGTTCAGCAATCTGTATTTTAACAACTCCACCAGGTGATTCTCATCATGAGAGAAGTTTGAGAAACACTGTTGTAGTGTGCAGAAGCAGCAATAATAGGGAAATTTAAGTCTGATTAGAATAGCAGGACAAATAAACATAAAGGAAATGGCCTGAGAGGGAGGCGTCAAACTGGTTGGAGATCATTGTAATGGTGGACATACTGAAGACATAAATCTGGAATTAAAAGATATATACCATGGACTGGCCTGTGTGGCTCAGCAGTTGAGTGTCGACCCAGAAACCAAGAGATTGCTGTTTTGATTCCCAGTCAGGGCACATGCTCAGGTTGTGGACTCGATCCCCAGTAGAGGGCATGCAGAAGGCAGCCGATTGATGATGTTCCTCTTGTCGATCTCTCTCTCTCTCTCTCTCTCTCTCTCTCTCTCTCTCTCCCTCCCTCCCTCCCTCCCTCCCTCCCTCCCTCTGTCTCTCTCTGTCTCTCTCTGTCTCTCTCCTTCTCTCTCTGGTAATCAATAAAATAATATATAAAGTATATATTTCTGAATGGTAAGGTAAGGTGATAGAGTGCCAGTGGTGTTTGCACTAGAGCATAATGAAGCAAATAGAGAAGGACTAGAGGAAAGGAGGGTTGAGGGAAAGTTTATCCCCATAACTCACCATCATAAAGAGATAATAAGTACAAATGCCCTCTTTTACATCGAGTGAAAAGTTGCTGCTCTAAATATGATCTTCAGTGGCCCAGGAGTTGAGTCTAGAGAACTGAGTACTATAATGACAGAGCAAAACTCAGAGTAAAACTCATCTGCTCAATTAAATGACCCTGTGTGGTCTTATTGGGTTGATAAATTGAAGAGCAAAAACAAGGACAACCAAAAACAAGATGAGGAAATATGGAGTATTCTTGATGCTTTATTTAATGAAAATGTCTCGTTTACCATGGAAGTCCATGAAAAGTACTATATGCCTAAGATTAGAGGATCCTAGATAAATGAAAAAGTTTGATATTAGATGGGTTTGAGCTTTAGGCTTTTAAAAGTATGTTAGTTCTGTAAGCAACTTGTTCATGTTAAATTCGTGTTTTTGAGTTTGCTAAAGGGTTCTGGAAAAGTTAGGATAATTTTGTAGGCAAAGTGTAAATGGAGAGAATGGGAGAAAAGATTCTATCATAGGTTGCACTGAAGAGTCACAAAAAGAAGATTCTTAAATCTTTGTTTATCCTTCTTTATAAATCTTCATGAGCTCATTTGTATTATGCTAAATACTAGGGATTTAGGGAGATTTTAAAATTATATTTATTGCTCTTGATATGCTACTAAATGTGACAAGTGTCACAGGATATAAGAATTCTTCCCTCTATAGGTCTGGTCCTCCCTTTAAATTGACCACGTATCTTATATTTCCAATAAATTACCTTTCTGCAAAAAAAAACTTAAAAGCATTTTCAAAATAAAAATTGATTTTGTTCACATTATTATAGTCAATAAACTTAATACCCGACACCACAGTTTTTAAATATTATAATCACTTTCACTAAGGAAAAGTAAGTTACTCAGTACTATTATTAATACTTCTCTGTCATTTGAACCTTTATAACACTTTACACTGAACATTTTGACACTCCAACCTGAAACAGAAATTACTAGTAAAAAAGAAAACAAAACTCTGGTATAATACACCAGAGGGCGCTCTATTCTAGTTCTTCTTAAGGAAGAAGTCCTTAGTCTAAAGTCTGCATTTCCATGCACAGATATGAGCGTGCTTGTGGAATGCTAGGCAGAAGGCACAGTTCTTGCTCTGTCTTGGGGAAGCTCTCCATCCAGGTAACAAGTCTGGTTTTTAAAAGAATCATTTCAGAAGGTTGAGTATTTAGATGGCTATATATTTCATTATTTAAACATTTTAGAGCTCTTTAAAGATTGCCTTTAAAGTTTGTGCTATGTTCTTGTTTTATGTTCTTAATGGAAGCATAGTTTTTGTCCTTGAGGAAAAAATGTAATTTTTAGCGACAATCTGAAGTTATTTGGCACTATGGAGATAAATAAGGTAGATTATCAAACCAGGCAGTGCTGGTTATAGTTTTCGTGTGTTTTTTAATTATTATTATTATTACATTCTAAATTTGCTAGCCTTGTTAGCAACACAGTAGAGAATAGTATCTAACTAGATATGCCTTGTGTAGACTCTAAACTGAGAACCATCATTAATACTTTTTCCTGGCCACCCCTCTGCAAGTCCTATTATATCTATAACATATAATTCATAATAATAAATACTCATGAAATCACCTCCCAAGCTGTAGAACTACAGTATTGATAGTAACTTAAATTTGCCAGAGTTTTCCTGTCCTATCAAGTCTTTAAGTAACTAGTATTCATTATTTGTTTGATTTATTTTATACATATATATCTTAATCACATAATTATGTGTTCCTAAAAATTATGTTGTAGTTTAATTGTTGTGACTTTATAAAAAGGGTATTCATGCTATATTTGATCTTTTGGATTTTTTTTTTTACACTTGATATTATAGTAAACCCTCGATTTTGCAGACCTCAGTTTAACAAACTTCAGATTTAATGAACAAAATCTCCGGCCTGTTTGTCATACATCTGAAAATTAACACCCTGTTAATCTTAAAATGCTTTTAACCAATATTTGCTAGGAATTAAACTAATGATTGGTTTTTGTTATTAAGTCGCTAATTTTTAATAAATTTTAACAAATAGGCCATATCTTGGGGGGAAAAAACTAGTAATTTTGCCAACATAAATAAATATTATATATCTCCAACAATAGTCTATGTATTTAAATCCAACAGTCACCACTCAAAATCAATATTCAGTGACTGATTAGCACATAATCATCGTAGTGGTAATTAGTTCTGTTGTGGCATGGCATAACTTTACACAGCAGTTTTAACGTGTGCCAACTGATGTTCTGACGTGTGCTAAGCCACGCTCTAGCCGTGTGCATTTGTTTACTTGTGCTGACTGGTGAATGCATGCATTTACTAAACCTACTCAGCATAAATTTAAAATTACTGTACCACATATAGAAAACTTTTCTTTGAAATTAAACTTTTCATGCATACTTAATTTTAATTACACAAATGTGTCTACATAAGACAGGAAAACTAATTTGTCACTTTTTTGGCATATGCATTCAGCAAACCTACTTGATTATATAACGGACAGTCCCTTGCCCGAAATGGCCGGTTCTATCGAGATTTTCCTAAATATTACTGTGATTCATCCATTTTGTCATTAGTTGAGGGTTATTTATTATGAGTGCTATGTAATATTCCATTCTATAACCACAATTTATTTGTCTATCTCACTGCTGACAGGCACTTGAGTTGTTCCAGGTTTTGCTCTGATATTGATATATGGTGATGTCATGAACATTCTTATACCTATCTCTTAGTATACAATTGCAGCCACTTTTCACCAGTAGTAAAGTCAGTTCAATTAATTTCATTTTTCTCAAACATATCTACGCTAAGAATGGAGTCATTCTGCTGGAGTTTTCTACACTCCAAAAAGGTTTAAGCAAAAATTCATGAAGGATATTTCCAGAATGATGAATTCAACTTATTCACTTCTTACTGACTTACTAAAATCTAGGGAGCCATAATTATTTCTGTCCTTTAAACATTTGTATGGTTATTTCATGTTGGCACCTATTGACAATATAACTAGGAAATAATAATATAGGTATACAATGATGTGTAGAAATAAGTAGCTATCGGATGTATGTGGCTAGGTGAGGCTGACTGGCTTGGTTCCCTGAGATACTTTAGGTTAGAATATACCTCTTTCTCTTTCTAGTACACCTTATAATGCAGTCATACTGAAATCTAGAGTCTACATATATAAAAGCCTAAGTGACCATTACAACTGAAGGGACGACCAAACAGGCTGCAGGGGGCGACCAGGCCGGCAGGGGAGTTAGTGAGGGGCTACCAAACAACTGAACAGAAGGCTGTATGGGGTGACCAGGACAGTAGGGGTGCAGTAAGGAGTGGCCAGACCAGCAGCAGTGGCGGTTGGGGGCAACCAGGCCAGTAGGGAGGGGCAGTTGGGCGTGACCAGGCCAATAAGGGGGAGGGGAAGAGTTAGGGGCATTCAGCCAGGCAGGCAAGTGAGCAGTTAGGAACTAGTGGTGGAGAGTGTACAGGCTGGGCTGAGGGGACCCCACACACACACCCATGCATGAATTTAATGCACCAGGCCTCTAGCATTACATATTTTCTTAGACTGCCATTTTTCATTACTTAGAATATCTACCACGTATATAGAATGTGGAAATATAAAAACCAGTAAATTCTGTTCTATTCATGCAAACAGCTCACGCCCCAACCAGTTTGACAGAACTAAGGATATTGCTGAAATTTTCTACAAATACCCATTCAGTATGTATGTGTGTTCAGCCTTGTACAAACCTCTATTCTTTTATCATAAATACAGATTAAAGCTTTTTTTCCTAAGCAAAAGTCTAGTTTTAGAATCATTAAAAATGCAGTCTGGACTAACTTGAATGTACATATTTATTTATTCTACCATATTTAGGACTAAGAAATAGTAAGAGAGAAAAAGCCACCACCCCAAGTATAGGTTACCAAAAGTTTGGAGAGCCATGAGAAATTAGTTGACATTAAAAAAACATGAAAGTGGCAGTGAGTTGAAATCAAAATACGGTTTTCTTCCTTGCACTTATCATGTTTCTATTTGAACATAAATTTCTTGGAAAGCAGGATATGCATTCAGGTTTTAGGAAGATGCCTTTCTATCTTGATGGTCTAGTCATCTGTCTTCCATTTATAGGTACTTGGTGGGGTCACTCTTGTCACAGTTTTCAATGTGTAGATGGGATTGTATGCCAGGATAAACTTTCTGCATGGGCAACAGAATTCCCAGTTCGTCTCCCTTGTTGATATTACCGCTATATCTAATTGGCTTAATGTAGAACATTTTAACACAGAAACCTAAAAGAAAAAAAGAAGTAAAATTATTCATTATCTGGGTTTTAATAGCCTAGAATCAGAAATTTAAAAAAAAAAGAAAAGAAATAACACACACACACACACACACACACACACACACGTACATACACTCAACACACACACATACACATACACACACACAAAGGGAGTTGATTGAACTCAATGGGGGAGTAAAAGGAAATGACAAAAATCATATCAGAAATAAAAACAAAAATTGCAAGATGCCCAAGGAAGAATAAATTTAAATTTAATAAAAGCATTAAACAATAGCAGAAAAACACGATAGCTGAGAATATTGACCTGGAATAATGCCAATTCTAAGGCATATACTAATTAAACTATTAGACTTTAAAGACAAGGAAAAATGGAAAGAGCTGGCACAAGAATACAAATCTTCCTAAATACCAAAGGAAAAACATTTTTTAAAGGCCCACCAAATAGAGAAATCGAGTTAATATAATACCGTAATTATAACGTTTCATTACAATTTTATATCTATAAATGTTAACTCAGCTATTAAATAGAATTTTCTATTGACTTGGAAAAGAAAACCCTACTTTATGCTGTATAAAAAACAATAATTGTAAAAGGCTAAAAGTTAAGGAATGGAAGACATTTGCTAGGAAATGGAAGCAAAAAGAAAAGGTTTATGATCATGTTATGAGAGAGTGGACTTTAGGCCAAAAGCATTGAAACAAGACAGAGGAGGACAATTTATAATGCCAAGTCCATTGAAGATGCAATAGTGATAACTGACCATGTGCTAAATAACACAGAAAGCATCTGTATAAAACAGACATCAGGAGATGCAAGGAGAAATAAGTGGGGTCCCACTAGTAATAGAAGACTTCAACACATTTATATAATTGAAAACAAGTCAAGTGAATAGAAAACATCAGAAAGGCTATAGAATTATGCCATACAACATGATAGCCACTGGCCACATGTGGCTAGTTAGCACTTGAAATGCAGGTAATCTGAATTAGGTGTGCTCTAAGTACAAGGTATGTACTGGATTTTGATGGTAGTACCTCCAAGAAGGTAAAATGTTAATAATATTTATATTAATTGCATTTTGAAATAAAAATATTCTGGAGATACTGAGTTAAGTAAAATATGAATTTTACCTCTTAATTTTCACTTTATGTGACTCCTAGAAAATTTAAAATTACTTATGTGGTTTTTATTATATTCCTTTGGAAGAGCTAGACAAAAATCAATAAGTTGTGTCTTATGTATACATGAATATTAGAGGCCCGGTGCACAAAATCCGTGCACTCAGGGGAGGGAGGGTGTCCCTCCAGCCCTGCCTGCATCCTCTTGCAGTCTGGGACCCCTTGTTCCTTACTGTCTGCCTGCTTGCTGCGCCTTATTGCTCGGCTCGTTGCTCCTTACTGCTGCTACAGAGGTGGGGGAGGCTACCGCCACTGCTGCTGCACGCGCTAGCCATGAACCCAGCTTCCTGCTGAGCAGCACTCCTCCTGTGGTAGCGCACTGACCACCTGGGGGAAACTCCTGCGTTGAGCCTCTGCCCCTTGGTGGTCAGTGCACATCATAGCAACCAGTCGTTCTGGTCTTTTTGCTGTAACGGTCGCTTAGGCTTTTATTATATAGATGTTCAAGACCTCCACACTGAGAACCAGAAAAACAACTGCTAATACCTCAATGCAAGAAGACCTAAAAATATGGAGGATATAACATTTTCATTGACTGGACGATTCATTACTTTCAAGGTAGAAGTTCTTCTCAATATAACCTGTATAATCAGTGAAAATTCAATCAGTCCCAACAAGCTTTAGTAGAAATTGGCGAACTGATTTTACAATTTGGAAATGCAAATGACCAAGAATTGCCAAGACAACCTGAAAGAAGAACAAAGTTGGTACAGTTCCGCAAGGTCATGGGCTCCCTCAGAAAGTGCTTCTTACTCAGCGAAGGAATTTTTCCGCTGGACTCACTGCCAGCAGAAATGCACGTTCATGTTCCTTAAAAGACTTGTGCAAGAAAGTTCATAGCAGCATTTACATAATCCCTAACACTGAATAATGCCCAGATGTCCATGTAGAGAAGAATGACTAAATACATTAAGATACAAGCATGTAATGGAATACTACATACAGCACTAAGAATGAACTAAAAGGATGTGCAAAATATGGATGAACCTACCAAACATGATGTGGATGGAAAGAAGCCCCATAAAAGAAACTGCATGCTGTTTAATTCTATTTCTATCATCTTCAAAAACAGGCAAAACTAACATATGGTGGGAAAGCGATTGCCCTTGCTGGGGATAATGAAAAAAAACGTAGCACAAAGGGTCTCTGGGATGCTGCTGCTTTTCTTTGTCTTGATCTGGGTGCCAGTTACTTAGGTGCATTCGTTTTATGAGAATTCACGGGACTGTACACTTAGGCTTTGTGCTCTTTTCTGAGTGTACGTTATAATCTCAATCCCTGGAATACCGGGAGGCCCTGCTTTGCCTAGAATACAGAGGGCTTTGTAAATGCTTCACAGTCAACTCTTGTAGGAAGGCCAGTGTTTTCCAATTGTGGAATTTTGGTAAATGAAAGTATCTATTCATGCTACTTAGTATTGCTGAAAGTGGTTTTGTTTATAGATTGTTAAGCAAAACCACATGGGCCACAGGGAGAAAGCCCTCGGTCAGGTAGAGAAGTAGACGGAGTGTGTGCATAAAAGCAGATGGCTCCGGGAAACCAGTGTAATGTCTTTGGAAATGCATTTGCTGTTTTAGCTTGCTACAATAGGTCCTTTATGTTATAGGTTTTATCATCTTGAAGGAAGTATGAAATTTCAACTGTGGAATAGGCATTCATATTATATCCAATATCTCCGTGTATGTCCCAGTCATATCCACCACCTCTTACCTCCTCCAGATATCTGAACACCATCATTGATGGCATTGTTTTTTCTATAAGGTTTCGCCGGGCGCACAATCCTTCCACTGAAAGGGGCATACACAGTAGATCCATCAGAGCACAAGACGTCTACTCCCCGGTGCGGCCTACCGTTTCTAGGATGCAGATAAGAAAGAAGAGACTCAGGAACTGCCCTGGGAGCTTTATTGCCTAGGAGTGTGGTGCTAGCCCTCTGTTCCCAGACCAGGGTTTCAACAATTGAAGCTGCTAGAGCATATTAGAATGTCCCAGTTTTCTTCATTCTGTTTTGCCCAATTTTAACCTTCTTCCCTGAAGGTGGTAATAACCATGTTGTAAAGATTAAAGCATTTAAGATAGTATTTGGCACTTGGGAAGCCTTTAAAAATATTAGCTATTGTTGTTTTATGGCATTTGGGGGAAATGAAGCAAGCTATTCGAGTACATTTTAATATAGACCTCTTAGGAAAGAGTTGTCTTTTTATGGGCATCTATCATAAAAGAATCTTATGTTACCCTAGCCGTGTTTTTCCCTCAGCGATCCAGAAGTTATTACCAAAATCATTTACTGTATATGCTATTTTAATATAGTGAGTGATGCTGCCTGTCTTTATTAAAGTTTGTGTAGCACAAACACAGAATGTTTCCAGTTTATGAGAGTTCTTCAGGTGGTCACTAACAGTCCTCACTGTTCAGTATGCCTGCTCTTGCCAGCCTCTTCTCCTTTCTAATGGGCTCCTGCCTGGAAACTCAGACGCACCAGGATTGTTAGATGATGTAAAGCAACACTGAGCAGGTTCCAAGTGAAGAGCCCTTAAGTTATTATATAAGTCAAATGCAAAAACTTTAGGGTAGAAACTAGTTGAGTCTTAATTTTGGCAATTGAGAGGTCACTTTTCCATATTTCCCATATCTTAGGTATGTCTCCAGGTGCTTGAGGTTACTTTGTAAGTGTCCTATATAATAAAACCCTAATATGCAAATCGACTGAACAATGGAAGGACTGGTCACTATGATGTGCACTGACCACTAAGGGGCAGATGCTCAATGCAGGTGCTGCCCCCTAGTAGTCAGTGTGCTCCCACAGGGGGAGCGCCACTCAGCCAAAACCAGGGCTCATGGCTGGTGAGTGGAGCAGGGAAGGCAGGAGCCTCTCCTGCCTCCACTGCAGAAAGGCAGGTGGTAAGGAATGAGGGGTCCCGGACTGCAAGAGCCCCAGATTGCAAGAGGGATGTCTGCCTGCTGGCTTATAGGGAGAGCGGGCCTAAGCCAGCAGGTGGACATCCCCCAATGGGTCCTGGCCTGAGAGGGCACAGGTCAGGCTGAGGGACCGCCCCCAAGTGCATGAACGTTGTTCACTGGGCCTCTAGTTATCTGTATAAGTGAGAGTTCCACTATAATGGGAATGGAAGTCAATAATGCAATTGAACATCCAGCTATTTCATCAGAGAGTGGTACTCCCAAGGTGATACTGTACATTACTGAAAATTCACAAGTCTGTTCCTCAGTGTCTGAAATTGCCTGCTTAGGGCCACCTCCGGTGTTCAGCTCCCAGAGGCTGGGTTAGTAACGCTGTAGTTTGATGGAAAGAGGATCCTAAGGCCTGAGTCCAAGTTGTGTTTGGCAGGTCCCTTAGCCCTTTGGTGCCTCCGTTCAGGTTCCTCATCTATAAAAGGGGATAGTGATACTTGGTTTTCACCGTGGAAAAACCAGGTGAAATAAGTCACCCTGGGAAAACACTGTTTACTCCCCTTCCTCTTTTCCTTATTCCACACTCTGTTCCCAATTCAGAGCCCATACTTGAAGCAGAGTTCTTGGAAGTTGCTCCAAAGATAGTAATGTAACTGGTTTCATCTCTGAGTTTTCCTGTTGTCAGAGGAAATGATCATGAGCACTTGAGGAAACCTAAGGCAAGCACACTGAGCAAGGAGGCCAAGAGCCCAGAAAGCATATGGTAAACATACCTTGAAGCACCGTAATGGCCCCAGCCATAGCCGTCAAGCGTCCTGATCCCATTGGAAGACCTGCCAGCACAAAGATTAGCCCATTGCCCCGCCAGCACTGCAAAGGAGAAACCACAAGGGGCAGATTTCCTGGTCTCACGTATTTCCAACCTCCATTTGCCATGTAAGTCTTTCAGTGGATTCTGAAAACCTCGTTTTTGCTATAATTTGTCCCTAATATTCTATAGTTTAAGGTAAGGTCTTTCTTTAATTCCTGGTTCAGATGTAAAATCGGCTTTTTCTCTGGCCACAAAAGTCCGTTTTATGACATATAGAGTATCTGTAAGTGTATCTGTTGATAGGCATTAACCTCCATCATTATCATTTCAGATGATCCACTAGTAAATGGCATAAAGTGTGTTTTTCAAATTTTCTTTGTTCATTGTTTGGCATGGGATTAAGGAAAATAATCAAACATGTTGATTTATTTAAAGAAATAACTCCAGAAATTCTTAAGTAACTTTGAAATGTTTCCTTATTATTAGTCCCAATAATCAAATCCAAGAAAATATTTGAATTAGTAGTGGTCGCCAACCTGTCAGACCTTGTGGACAACCAGTGGTCCACAGACCACCGGTTGGCGACTGCTGAATTAGAGAAGCAAACTCTGAACTAGCAAGGTTTATTTATTACTAAATAAATCTCTTCCACATTTGCAAACATGGAAGAGGGAGACTCTTAAAAATATGAACATGTCAACTCAATTTAGCCTAGAGTGGAGTGAGAAGAGAAGATGGGGAAGAGTGTAGAAACAATTCAATAAAAAATTATGAAGCAGTAACACATGCACGAGGGGGTTATCTCTCTGTGGATTTTGTGCAAACTTTGTAAGTGCATCTTCTCTTTAATTTATTAAGCACTTGATAAATGTTCAATTGAATTTTATTTTCAGGATTTTCAATGTTAACGTTCATCACAAGATGAAGTTAACAAACTCAATCTATCACTTTAAAGCAAAGTAACCAAAACAGAAGCAAAACCAAGAACCTGTTAATTTGATCACTGATTTTATTTAACAAAATTTTACCATTTATTAATAATACATGTGCTATGAAGAGAAGGTAAAGAATATGGCCACTAAACATATTCTTTAATATTCTTTCAAAAGTCTTATACCTTGGAGCCACGTGTCAAGTCAACACCTTGATCAAAATATAATGCCATCGCTTTGGCAACTAATACTTATCCTTGGGAACTGAGGCAGAGACTAGACAATTGGTTAATTTTTTCATTTTCCTCTTAGGTGTGACTATTAAGAGAGTGTTCCTCCTATCCTAATCCCACCACTCTCTGCATCGGGAATTTTCTAAGTCATATTCTTACACAAACTTTTTTATCTTCTAATTATATTCCAATTGAGTTCTAGACCACAATTGAAAGACGCTTCTTCAAGTCCCCCCATTCCATTTTTGTTTCCCTCATTAAAGAACCAGAGCTTTCGGTGGACATTACTGAGAACCCCATTCTTCCTATTACATATTTAATATCCAGATGCACAAGTTTCTGTCGTGATTATGCTATTATTGACTTTTAAATCTATTCTTGCAATAAGTTTTTACAAGTTAGCTGAGATTCTAAAATTGTGTCTGACTTACCAGGTGAAATCAAAGCAGCCAAAAGGAGGACTCCTGAAGAAAACATGGCTTTTATTTTCCTGTGATCTTTCTCCCTCAGATGGCTCCACACTCTCTTTGAAGAATATTCAAGTCTGAGTAAATATTTTCTAGATATTTAACCTTAGAATTCTGAATTTTTCATTTCTTTAACACGAGTCAAAAAATATGAGAACAAGTCCAATTCTAATATTGCCTGGCTAGCTATTTGGTTCAGATGTAGGAGCTATATAAACGCTTCTGAGTTGGAGAAGCAGCTAATTTTATTGGAAATTCTGACTAATTATTAACTGAAAGTGACCAAACCAGGTGAAGTGTGACTGTCCTCAGGGCTGTGGCTTCATGAATAACAGCAGATACAGCAAAAATACAAAATACGCACAGACTAACTTTAGGATAATAGTTACCTCAGGGAGAGAAACAGAGTTGTGCAGGGATGCACAGTGCTTAAACTCTAAAATAATGTATAGAAAACAAAACTATCAAAAGCAAATATAAAATTAGTAATTTGTTAAGCATTGGAGGTGGATACCTGTTATAATGTTCTCTGTCCTTTTCTATATAGTTAAAATATGTATTAGCATTTCCTTCTTTTTGTGGGAGGCTGTAATTGGGAGCCCAAATGCCCACCTCTCCCTGCATCCACACCCTTGCCATGACTCTTAGGAGCAGAGGGGGTTTTCTCAACCTCTGATTTGTGGTTCGATTCTATGATGCCCTTTGACCAACAGAGCGAAGCAGACATGACTGTAACAGTAGAGCCTGACCCCTCACCAGCCTTATGTCGTTCCATTTCCCTTCTTGTGTTCTGCTGTCTTTATGAGGAGGACATTCCCCTACTAACCTACAGAGAGAATGACAGTCAATGGAGCAGACTCATTCTAGCCATGCCCCCCAGCTGAAGCCACCCTAGCACACCCCCAATTTACATTAGAAAATTCCCTGCTCTCAGGATTATTGAACACAATTAACTCCATTGTATTTAAAGAAATATTAGGTCTAGTAATAATTAATGTCGTTTCCTAATACTTTTTTAAAATCGAATTTATTTAAATACAACAAAATTTAATCAACAATATAGTTACCGTTGTTTTCTAATACTTGTGCCCAAACGCTCAGGAAGCATTTTAATCCCTCTGTTGTAAAATTCTTGTGATTCTGATGCAAAAAATTCGGTCAATGCATTTTTGAGGCATTCTTCATTATTAAATTTTCTTCCAAGAAGAAAGTTTTGCAAAGAACAAAACAAATGGTAATCGGAAGGGGCAATATCAGGAGAATATGCAGGTTGAGGGAGAACTTCCCATTTCAACTGGCGCAGTTTTTTAGCAGTGATTCTTGCAGTATGCGGTCGTGCGTTATCGTGGTGAAGAATTACGCCCTTCTGATTAATCAGCGCGGGTTCTTTTTCTCTTAAAGCTTGGGCTAACCTTTCCAATTGGGCACTATACACTGCACTTGTAATGGTTTGGTTAGATGGTAAAAGTTCATAATGAAGAATTCCTTTAAAATTCCACCAAACACACAACATCACTTTTTTCGCATGCAAGTCAGGTTTTGGCGTGGGCTGCGGAGCCTCATTTTTGTCCAACCATTGAGGCCGCCTTTTCAAATTAACACACAGCACCCATTTTTCATCTCCGGTAACAATTTGCTCTATCTAAAAACGGCAAACGGTTTTGACGAGAGAGGAGCGAATTGCAAATTGTGACTCTTTGATTACGGTTGTTGTCGGTCAACTCATGAGGAACCCATTTTCCAAACTTTTGGACTTTGCCAACTGCACACAATTGATTGGAAATTGTTTTTTGTGAACAATTTAAAGTTGTCGCAAGCTCTTGTTGGGTAATTTGAGGATTTTGCACCAAAAGAGCTTGAAGAGTTTCTTGATCAAAATTGGATACACAGCCTCGACCACTCTTGTCATCTAACGAAACATTTCCCTCGCGAAATTTCTCAAACCAACGCTGGCATTTTCTGGCGCTAACTGCATCTTGACCAAGAGCACTACCGATGTTTTTTGCAGCCTCACTTGCTTTTCTTCCTAATTGGAACTCGTAAAGCATGCAGTGCCGAATATGCTCTTCATCCGCCATCTTCTTAGCCCTAGTTTTGCAACCAAAACCAAACCAAACACAAACTTTTTCAAGCAAAACTTGTTAATTGCACTTCACACGTTCTGTAGATACCACGTGTTTGAAGGTTATGTCAATACAAGTCAACGCCAAGCAAGATTTTAAACGAATGTTTAAAACGACATTAATTATTACTAGACCCAATAGTAAGGGAATTAAAGCAAATATAGGCTAACCCAGTGGGCAGTCCACAACTTGTGAGCCACATGCGACTCTTTGGCCCCTTGAGTGTGGGTCTTCCACAAGATACCACGGCCTGGACCAGTCTATTTTGAAGAGGTGGCTTTAGAAGAAGTTTAAGTTTAAAAATTTTGGCTCAAAAGAAATTTCAATCGTTGTATTGTTGATATTTGGCTCTGTTGATTAATGAGTTTGCCGACCACTGAGCTAACTAACTGAACATTTGCCCTGACTGAGGCTGGCCTATGTCCATTTTGCAGTGGTGTTTCAGGCCTGGAAGACACTGTCCTTGTTCTTTGTGTATAACTAGTGAGTGTAAGGAATGTCCAGATGATTACTACCTGTTAGAAATCTTTGATTAGAAACTCTGATCTGTTAATAGACATAGTTGGGTAAGACCTGGATCCTCTCTGAGCTATATTTCTTCATAACTATATATATGTGGAAGTACAACGACTTGCTGGGCTATGATTACTGAAGGGCATTGAACCTTTGCAAGATACACTCAACTATCAGCATTATAAATTGACCTCATTTCTCCCCCATGCCTCGTGCATTGACCATTTTATTTTTCTTAGTACTTTCACCAAAGATAGAGAGGACCAGGAGGAGGCAGAGAAATTCAAATTGGCTATAATTCAATTTTTTTTTTCAAGTGTGATGTCTGTGGTGATTAAAAAAAAAACACTCTTTTACCTATGTGGAGACTATTACCTTTTCTTTCCTCTTTTAGCTCAACATTCTCATCTCTAGAAAAGCTTGAGTTAAAATTATTGTAATAGAGTTCATCCGGTAGGTTCAGCCATTTCCTCCTGTCTTATCTCTGGTTCTCTGTAACTGTCTTCTGCTCCCCATAAGGTAGGAAATGAGTTTGTAATGAAATATCAAAATGAGAAGGCTGGTCATATTCCAGGAGTTTATGAACAGATTGATTTTATATGTTATATGATTTTCTATGTTCTTTCAGGGTGCTATTACAACATACCATTGACTGGTTTGTAAACCAAAGAAATTTACTGGTTTATAAACCAAAGAAATTGAGGTATCACCATGGTCAGGTCCAGCCGGAGAGCACACTGCCTACTCCTCCCGATGTCCACCCCTAGAAGAAGTGGGCGATGGAGTTCTGTGAGCCTCTCCTCTACGGGCACTGATCCTATTCTCGGAGCTCCATCCTCATTACCCCAGTGCCTCCCAAAGGCCCCACCCCCTAATACCATCACACAGGCACTGGGATTTCAACATGTGATTTTGGGGGGGACACACAAACATTCAGACCATAGCAATTAATAGTAAATCATAAATAGAAAACAATGGAGAGAAACTATTTGATAGAGAGGCCAAAGTTATAAATTTGAAGGTGACCTCCCAGCATCGAGTCTTATTCTCCACCCCCCACCCCAGCTTAAAAATGTAAATTTAAAGGAAAACTTTACCAGAGATGTAATAAAATTTGAATGAATTAGCTAGAAGAAGAAAAGGTTGGGGAAACTTGTCAACATACATGGCTGTCTGGAATACAGTACATTGTGTGGGGTCATTAAATTTGTGTAGCTGACCAGTCTTAACTTTTACCAAGTCTAGAAACAGGTTCAAAATTAGCTAAACTATGCTACAAGTTTAAATGCATGTCCTCAGTGTAAGGAATACAAGACAAAGAAAAATTAGTCTCAGTACTGGGATGAGGAGAATGCTTCTGCTTCCAAACCCTAACTAACACAAAGCCTCGAAACATGTTCACAGAATTGACTTGAACCAAACTCTATCCCCATCGATGAGGTATTAGCCTCCTTGCTTTCTGCTTTATTAGAGACGGACAAGCAACAATAACTTAGCATGTATTAGAATGAGGACTAGCAAGTGCCCGTAGGCTTTTGGTAGTGTTGGTTGATCCAACCCATAGGCACAACATGGACAGCCCTTCCTGAAATTCAGTCATCGGTGGTGCTTTCCAGCTAAAGGCAGAGCTGATGTTTGTTTTTTGCTGACTGTTTCTTTCATTTGGTGGGGGCAGTGAACTCATGAGACTGGCGTCAGACGGTGACCTCTCTGTGGGTCACTTACCTCCTCCTGCCCTAGGACACTAGGCAGAGTCTTGATCCCAGCCTGGCATCTCAGGATGGAGATGGCAGAGCCTCGTCCACTGAGGGGCTGAGCTAGAGCACATGAGGGAATCAGAGCAAGTTTATTCCTACTCATGGAGACTGGCGTCTTCCTTGTCGTCTATTAGAACGTGGAATTGGATGTACACCTTAGTCTGTTTCCAGTGTCCTGTGCCTGGAATAGGCAGCTGACGCCCTGAGAGGATCTCATTAGAGATGGCCTTGTTTGTGGGGACATTCTGGCAGCTCGTGTAACATGCTTCTATGTGGAGTGTGTACTTCAAGGGGACTCTGAGTCTGTGTTCTGATTCTGAGTTCCTTACTCTGTTGTAGATAAAGTGAAAGATGTCTACACCCCTGGTATGGGTAGGCAGACTTCTTTCCTTGCCAATTTTCTCTCCTATTCTCTTACTTCTCTCTGATAAGCCATGAGCCAAATAAAACACTTTATTTTCCTCTCTTAAGGCTCAGGTCAGCAAACTCTTTAGTCAACAGAACCAAATATCAACAGTACAACGATTGACATTTCTTTTGAGAGCCCAATTTTCAAAACTTAAATTTCTTCTAACGCCACTTCTTCAAAATAGACTTTCCCAGGCCGTGGTATTTTG